GAGAGAGAGAGAGAGAGAGAGAGAGAGAGAGAGAGAGAAACTAAAAGCAGATAAAGTCTCCTTTTTTTTTTTTAGGTATAATCCTTCAGACTCATAGAGGACCCAGAACCAAGAATATAAGGTTTTATCACATGATGGCTCTTTCCTAGCCATGCTGAAAATGACATTTCGAAATTTTGCACCTCTTCATCATTTTGGGTTAATGGCTATTAAGAAGCCCACCTGTCAGGAGATCCTTGCACAGTGCCTACCTGTACAGCTGCCTCCCTCTGGGAGAAGACTCGGTGCTCAAGAAGTAACTGTCCAGGAGAGAAAACAGCACAAGCATCAGTAATGATGTATCTTTGTCACACTCAGCTTTCACTTGAATTTTCTAAACTGTGGAAAAACAAGCAAATGCTGTTTTGTTGTTCAACCACAGGACTTTGATCCATCTGAAAAATGTACATTTTGTTCTTTATAAAATCGTCACCTTTTTTCATAATCTCAGTCTGTATGTGTCATGTGTATGCTTCTGTGTAAGGTGTCTTTAAGTGAAGTATAGAAGTCTTTGAAAAGAGATTATTCTTTACATGGCTGGCTATTTTCACTAGGATGGTAAGCAAAACAAATCTAGTAGAAAAGATCTCATCTGAAAAATCTGACTTCCTGCCTGACGTGAAAACCAAAGAGCACTCACATTTTTTGAGTCGTTTCATCATATGCCAAAATCTTTATCACTTCCCAGTTTCCTGATGTCAAATGCCGCACAGTAATTTGCTCACTTTTACTCTGCAAAGAAATAGAAGATATTGATTTTCTTTTTATTTAACCAGCACCTCTCTAGTAAACATGAAAATACCAACTGCTGGTGCCACATTTAATTTTTTAGTTCTCTGCTAACATTCAGTTTTCTGTCTTAAATCTCCAGGAGACACACACACTCCTAGAAATACAAAAGGACACTGGACTGCACCTTTATTCCTAAACTATAGAAAAATCACTCAGAAAACTTCAGGTGAGCACGTGCCTATGCATGAACTTGACAGCAGACTGGTAGGAACATAAGACTTTGATCACTCTTTCCTAAATGATTAGAAGCTGTGCAGTTTAGACAACTTTACATAAAACATTTCAGCACAAACTTTACTACAAATAAATAATTATAAAAACTGTAGAATTTTTAATTGAATTAATATTATTTCAATATTATTATTTATTGAATATTATAAATCTGGCCAAGAACAAGAAGTTTTCACATTTGTTTAAGCCTACCTGACTATCTTTCAGGAACATTCTGAAACTTTCCTCACAAAAAGTTTGTCCATTTATATTTCAATTTCATATTTATTGCTAAATATATATTTTTATAAAAAGTACTTTTCCTTTCATTACAAATTCTAATTGATTTTTACATATAATGTATCTATTATTTTTATTTTAAATATCTGTTCTCTTACTGAATACTTTTCCAAGTTTATGACCATTTATTAACTTTTCTATGATTTTATGTTAAATAATTCCTCCAATGCAATGTTTAAAGTAGCAATAGCATGTATCTTTTTTAGTCCCTGACTGCAATGGAAATGTTGGTGATATCTCTTTTCTAAATAAATATTATATTTTAGGCAGAGATGTGTAAATTTTAGGTTTTATAAAAAGAATTTAGTATTAAGTTTTGTAAAAATTTTCACAATTTTTACTAAAAAGAAAATCTATGCTGTAGCACAGTATAACTTATGTGGGATTACCTGTCAAAGCCTGGAATTATTCTCTGTAAAATAAGTCATATAAGCCTGGCACTCCTTTGTGGCATGATTCTTTGGTAAGATTTTATTTCATCTGTGTCATAAGTCAGTTAAAGCTCTCTATATCCTGAGGACAATTTTGGCTAAATGTATTCCTCAGGAAATTGTTCATTTCAAATAAAATTTCAAATAAATTGGCATAGAGTTCTAGAAATATTCTCTAATGGTTTATTAAAATATATATTTGGTCCCACTAGTCATTTCTTATCATGCCTAATTTTACTTTCTTGCTGGGAGTGTGGTGCACACCTATAATCCCAGCTGTTTGGAAGGCCCGAGGCAGGGGATTTCAAGTTCAAAGCCAGCCTCATCAATTTAGTGTGTCCTAAGCAACTCAGCTAGACCTTGTCTCTAAACAAAATGTGCAAAAGGACTGGAAATGTTTTGTAGTGGTTGAGTGCCCCTAAGTTCAATCCCTGGTACCACCACCACCACCATCATCATCATCGTAATAATAATTTTACTTTATTTTTTAAATCTCTCTTGTTGACTTGGATCAAGTTTTGTTTTGCCTTATTTCCATTTTCTCATTCTTTCTTCTTTTCCTTCTTTCTTTGCAAAGAAGAAGCATTATTTTTTAATTTATTAGTTTTATTCTTTCTGTTTATAACCACTTGGTTTTCTGCTTCAAACATAATTCCTTACACTTTTCTGTCTTATGTTGATTTTTACCAATTGCTTTCTAGGTGTTTGAGTTGAGAATCCAATACATTTGATTCTATTCTTTCATTTACATTTTTATAATTACTTAAAGCTCTGTATTTTATTCTGACCACTAATTGTGAGAATACATGCTATCATTCTTCTTGATATTATTATTAATATTTTATAAATTTGCAATTTTGGTTTTAATTCTGCAGAGAATGGTAAAATTGAGAAAATTTAAATTTTATATATTCTACATAGAAAACCTGTTAAAAATGTAATATGGAGCAGCATGTGGTGGTATACACCTGTAATTCCAGTGACTCAAGAAGCTGAAGTAGAATGATCACAAAGTTGGAGACCAGCCTCAGCAAATTAATGATACCTTGTCTCAAAAAAAAGAAAAAAAAAAAGAAGCTGGAGATTTGGAGAATGTTGCTCAGTGGTATAGTGCCCCAGGTATAAACTCCAGCAACACACACACACACACACACACACACACACATCCACCCCCCCACACACACAGTCTTTCTGATCTCTAGGATATTACACTGTGATTACATTATTTTTATACTTATCTTTTAGTTTTATGTGGATACAATATTTTTATTTTATTTTTTATGTGGTGCTGAGGATCTAACAAAGTGTCTCATACATTCTAGGTGAGCACTCTACCACTTGAGCCACAATCCCAGCCCCCCCTTTTTTAATATTCATTTTTTAGTTTTAGGTGGATACAACAACATTCTTGCTTACATAAGTCAGTGAGTTTTTCTTCTTTGTCCTGTATGCGTTCAATTTTGTTAATGTCTCATATAAAATTGAAGGGAATATATTATCTTTTATTGATGTGTGTTCAAATATTTATAATTATATTAATATATCCTAATTATCTACCTATGATATATCTATAGTCTCAAGTCTTGGGTCCACTTGACTCACTTCTACTCAGAGCAAACATTAGTTTTTGTGTGACTCTAAGATTTCTAAATAATGATTTTGTTTAATACCATAGAATACTATAATGTTGAATACCATATGCTATCTATGGCTCAGATATAGATTTTTTAACTACTATATATTTTTTATAATTTATTTTCTTTTGTTCATCTTTAATGCTTTGAGAATAAAAGTTCTTTTATTTGGTATCAAGTTTTTAGCCTTACTGAATAATTTTATTTTAGATGTCTATTTTGCATAAAGGATTGAATTGGATTCTTTACAAAAGACAAACTGAAAATCAGTTTTTCTTTTAGTGTGTAAATTAGGTCAATACAATTTTTTTAGTGTAATTGATACACTGTTAAAGACCTCTTTCAATTTTATGTATTTATCATGAATACTATGTCTAAAGAGTTAGTGCTTCAAAACCTGGTGCTAGGTTTGCATTTAGCTATACAATTTAAGTTTACATTAATAACTTTAATAATGTTTTTATCAACCTTACATAGATATCTTCTTTGGATTATAGAATATTTTTGTTGTTGCTTACAGTTGTTATATCATGATTTTAAATATTATCTCTTCCATTGTTTTCTTATTAATCTCATTTAAGAACTCCAGTATGGAATCAGTTAGATTTTAAGTTGTAGTTATGTCTGATACTTTGTTTTTCTTTATTTTCATTCTGTTGGAGGTTTTCATTTATCTCCTTTGCATATTTTTAGATTTCTCTTTATTTTTCCTTGAATACCTTTCAATGAATTTATTTGTCATTCTTGTTTTTTTTTCCAGTTTCCTCCTGATTTCTGCTTTATGATGCTAGTAGTAAGTTTTAAACTTTTCATTTGAGGTACACTGTCTAAGGCACTACTGTCATTTGCAAGTATTTGTGAGCTAAATAAAAGTATAAATGTAATATGAAACATAATTTGTGAGATTTAGACAGATACAACCTAAGGTGGATGTGAAATTCTAAATTCAGACATTTTGTGGTCAAGCTTCCATAGGACAGTAACTGTGTGGATAGATATCCTCACTTATTTTCAGGTTCTTTCATGAATGTGTCAAGATCAGAATACTAATATCTGTATGTTTTAGTGCATCTTTAATGTCAATATAAAGGATGAAAGAATTCTTACAACATTAATAAAGAAAACTTGCTCAATATTTCTAAATGTCAGGACAAAATTTCATTCACAGATTTCTAGGTTGATTAGTTTCTTTTTAAGAGAATTTATTATGTGTGTGTGTGTGTGTGTGTGTGTGTGTGTGTGTGTGAGAGAGAGAGAGAGAGAGAGAGAGAGAGAGAGAGAGAGAGAGAGAGGCTGCATTTAAATGATCCTGAGCAAAAAATTCAATGCTTTGAAAAATGTTTGAACACAGTGAACACAGGAATAAAATTTTACACTATTGACTTCAAAGGTCCATTTACTTCAAAATATTTTGCTTCTAAGTGTAAGAAGAAAACATCTCTTGTTGAGAGTCATACTAAGAACCTCACAAGCTTTTGATTTTATTTCAAACATCTGTAATTGCCTTGCTTTTTATATTTTTACCAAGGTAAATATGAGCTGGGAAATAAGTTGAATCCCCATTCCACTTATTATAGCCTAGACTTAATTTCCAATAATATATGTGTGTATATATATATATATATATATATATATGGGATACTGAGTTTCATAACAGTGAACACATTAATTTTGATCCAGATGCAAAGTAAATAACTCCAATAACAATCAGAATATAGTAGATTACTCTACAGTTCATAAAAAAATACATAGCAAGGGTCTTGACTGCCTTGCATTAGGGGTATCTGTATTCCAGTTAGCTTTTCAAATACTTTCACCAGAAATACAGTCTCAGGAGAGAAAATTTAATACAGCAGAAAATAACAATTTTTACTCCACAACAGAATTTCTTTCTTTCACTGCATCCATAATCTCTGCTATATTAATTGGTAGAAAAGAAACGCTTGAATATGAATGTGAAAACATAATAGACCTCTGAATGAAGCAATATGGAAACATACTTCAAAATTGAACTCACATGTCCACTCTAATTTTAGGGAAGAGAAAAGCATTAAAATTGGAGATTTTGTTCATTCTTAAAAGAAGCCTAAAAATTCCGAATATAGTGGTTTTATTTGGAATTAGGCCTCAGATACCTCTCCGACTTGGTTAGAAATTTTATCTTAGTCCAAGAAGTTAAATATCAATTTTATATTTATATTTGTGAAATAAAGACATGTTGATGTCAGTAAAAATTTAATGGTACCTTTGCTTTTTGCCTGTTCATTCAATTATCTGAATTCTGTTTCACTTTTATATCTTCTAAATAAGGAAAATGTTGTAGTGCTTAAAAATAGAATGCTTTAATTTACTGTCTATTCATCACATTAAATGAGCTAATTGTTTTCAGACAATGTCCTAATCAGATACTCCAGTGAAATTTAATGAAAAAATTTTTGATTAGGTGATAGAATTGTGAATTGGGGGCATGTTATTTTTCTACAGTATTTGTAATGAATAATGGCACATAGATGTGTTCCAAGTGAAATCATCAGCTCTCATGGGTAAAACCTCATGTTGTTAAATAGACAAACTAAATGGATTCACCAACATGTGATTTTTCATTTAACATAATTTTAAAAGATGACATTAAAGTTGCTTGTGTCCACAAATCTGAACCACTTAATATAATGGGAACTGTGCTTACCCCATATTTGATTAAAAAAAAGAAAAGAAAAGGTCCCATTCCTTTGATAAAAGCTTTTCATTGAAGCCTGAATTGAATTGCAGGAGGTGTGATATTATAGTTCCTGAAATAGGAGTCTGTAACTTAGAGGTCTACTTAATAAATATTATTTGGGAAGGAAGGGGAAAATATCTGAAGTGTTTAAAAAAAAGAAAAAGAAAAAAAATTAATCTCAGTGATAACTTCAGGAGGTACATTAAAGAAAGTATATAAGTGGATATTAATATGCACATAGTCAATAATGGTGGAGAAGAACAATTTCACATTTAGTAGCATAGACTTGATTGTTCAGAAGAAGTTATTTTAGCACTACAGAAATTTAGAAAAGTCATATTTTTAATATATTGCTTTTAATTGAATATGTGAAAATAAGAAAATGCTCACAATGTATGCCTTTACATATTCATAATAAAAGTAATCGGGAAATACATGTAGAAGGGAATAGAAATATTTTACATTTAATTAAAGAATTCCAGTTCTGATAATTTATCAATATTAAAGTAATAATTAATAACTTCAATAAACTATGTACTGTGCCATCTATAGTTACAATAAATTGCCATTCAATTAAACACTTGACAATTATGATTATCTATCTGCATCCAATCAACTAAATGCTAATAATCTAAAGGTTTTTGTTTTTTGTTTTTAAGTAGCATTATGGGAAAAGTTTGCATTGAAAATCTAAGTTTAAAATTTCAGGATATAATGTATAATTTATATAAAATTACAACCATGCTTAAAGGGAGAAGACCAGAGGAAAATACATCAATCCAATCTTTTTTTATTTTTTTGCAATTATTTTAACAAGGACTAGCTTCTGTAAATAAAGGAAAAAACACTATTGTATTTGTAATGATAACTCTCATTATAATAAAAAAAGGTTGAAAGCAATAACTCAGTTTGTTGCCCTTCAATGGTTTTTATCTAGTCACTGATTATAAAAGACAGCAAAATGTTTGCAAAAATGTACTAATTTCATTTAAATACACAGGTTGTGAGTGAAGTGGGATGCTCTCAGCCGAGCACAAAGATGTGCAGGGGTGGTCTTTCTGACTGAGGGGGCAAAGCCTCCTGGTCCCATCACTTCTCACTTTCTGGCATGCCCATGTTGAAGGTACAACAGAACAGAAAGAGCAGGAAGACAAGTACAAGGTCATCAACATTGGTATGTGTTACTAGTTAGACAGCAAATTTTGTGCTGTTTTGCAAGATCAAATTTCCACTACATATCAATACTTAAACAAATATATTACACATGCATAGGCTTTACCTAAATGCCTTTTAACAACTACAATGTCATTTTCATGGGAATTACTGTGAATGGAAAAAAAGTATTTATGCATAAGAGTGCTTGTTCCTGAATTACTTCTAATATCAAAAGTAGAAATCACTTTAATAATGAAGAAAATTGGATCATTTAAATACAGAATAATAATACATCTACTTGAGGGAATATTGAACAGAAATTAAAATCACATTTAATAAAATATTAAATATTAGAAACACAATTAAATGATGTGAGAAAAGTTATTCTTTAAATATTGCAAACCTAAATTATGATTTGCTTGCAGTCTTTAAAGGAAAACTACATATTTTAGTATAAAAAGAAATTGGAAATATATGCAGAAATTTATTAAAGATATCAGAATGTGAGATGATGAGATTGTGGGCAATTTTATATATTGTATTTAGTTTATTCAGCTTTGAATTTTTCAAATTTTTATAGTGTATATAAAGTAACAAGGCAGGCTAACAAAACTCACAAAACATTTTTTTATATTAGATATTATTAAATTGAAGCAAGTAAGTGTTTTTTTGTGTGTGTTTGTGTTGGGGGGGGGTGGTATACTGGGGATTGAACTCAGGGGCACTTGAACACTGAGGCACAACCCCAGCCTTATTTTGTATTTTATTTAGAGACAGGGTCTCACTGAGTTGCTTAATGCCTTCCTGTTGCTGAGGCTGGCTTTAGTCCTCCTGCCTGTCTCCACAGTCGCTGGGATTGTAGGCATGTGCTACTGCGATTAGCTGAAGCAAGTAGTTTTGAACTTTTTCCTAAAATAATATGATGCATGTATGTGTGTAAACTCAGGTAAAATTGTATTTACATAAGCACAAAATCTGATTCATTAAAAAACAGTTTAATTTTAATCAATTGTCAGAATATCCGTAAGTGATCATGTAGTCATGGTAATTTCTCAGTGTGGCAACCCATAAATAGGCTTGAAGAGCAACCAGAATGGAGCAAGATGTTTTTCCTTTACTGGAGGCTTTGCTAGAATCTCCATAATAGAAAAGACACAAAACAAACACATCTGCTCCATGAAGCTCTTCTGAAAATTTTAGAAATAACCAATTAGATTGCATGTCAGGCTGCTTCCATTGGGCACAGAAGGATTTTCTTTCTTTTTTTACAACTTAACAAGCAATTTTTGCTTAGTTGTGTAAACTCTCCACAGTCTCCATAGGCTGCCCTCATCATTTGTCCACTAATATACTTGACTCCATTTTTTCCTGCTGATATGTTGAACAGATTTTCTACTTTTTGGAATTGAGCATATAAAGACATAGTGTGCATTCATCCTATCCTCTGCTATGTCTTTTCAGTATCCATGATTTGTACATGATCTTTGCTACTTAGATATTTACACAGCTTGTTAAATATAAATTACTGGATATTAAAATTCAACAAAATGCCACAATTATTTATTTGACTTGAAAAGCATGAATTTTGTTTTTGTCCAAGATATTTAACTAGTGTTTGTTATAACAAAAGTTTACTCTTAGCAAAAGTAAATTAATTGCTAGTGACATTTCTGGTTCACATTTTTTTTAAAAATGAAAATATTAATTTAAAATGCTACCTGCCTGTTATAGTTTAATGGTTTGCCTTGATTGACAAAACGTTACTCATCATTGAATGCATGCATTTATTTAGAACATAGAAGGGATGACATTAGTTTAAATTTAGTTTTTACCACTTAATAATTTTATATATATATATATAAATATATATATATATATATATATATAAATCTACATCTCTGTATGTTAAATCTACATCATCATGTATGTTCTTAATTATTTATTTCAGCCTTCATGAAAATTAATGTAAAATCCTTGACAATTATTTTAATAAAAGAGACCTTAGACAAGCTTTGAATTTTAAACCATTGACACAAGATATTGAGGCTTCAAAGCTTTAGGCTGATTAATTTAAATATGTACAGGTAGCAATAATTACTTTAGAATGTGTACAAGAGCCAAAAGTTCTGTAAATGTCAAAGTAGCCAAGATACTTAGGAAGTTTTTGGCACATTTTTCTTTTTCAATTTTTGGTGGGGATGGGTACTAGGGATTGAACCCATGGGTGCTTAAACACTGAACCATATCTCCAACCCATTTTTATATTTTATTTAGAGACAGGGTCTTGCTAAGTTGCTTAGGACTTTGATAAGTTGCTGAGGCTGGTTTTGTATTCATCATCTTACTGCCTCAGCCTCCTTAGCTGCTGGGATTATAGGTTTACACCACCTCACCTGGCTGCCACCTTCTCTTTAGTTTGTACTTTGTTTCTATGAAATGATTCTGGCTTGTTTGTAAAACTGTCATAAAGATTCCAACATAACCACAAATATTTATCATTATAAAACTTTTACCTATGACACTGTGATGATTATTTAGTTTATTTTGAAGAATGCTTTATTTCCTCAAGAATGTTTGTTATTAGAAATTAAATTAAACTGATATTAATCTTGACATATTGAAAACAACTTGTGAATTTACTGAGTTTTTAAATAATTAACCAAACATTTTTAACTGTTAACATTCTTGTAAAGTTTAGAGGAAAGCAAAAAATTCCCTACTTTTATCAAAAAGACCACAAGTATATTATACAGGTCCTGTGTCTTTGACAATACATAAAAATTCATCCTACACAGTTTTTTTTAAAATCTACATTGTGCTTTTCTGTGTGGGTGGGTTTAATTTATTCATCCACTCAATTTTGGTGGACATTGAAATTGCGTTGAGCATTTAAAATTTTTATAACTCCTTGAAAATATTATTTGTGCAAAATGGTAATAAGTATATGTTGGATAAAATTCTTCCTCTAGGTTGTCCTCAGGTCTTTGAAAGTTGGATGGTTTTCATTGATTAAATTCTCTACTCCAAGGTCCTCTGTCCATAGCACACATGTACAACTCAATAAATTTAATTGCCTTCTGAGACTGTTCTGTGCACTATTACCGCTTACATTTATGACTATGGACTGGGTTCTTCTCTTAAAATGTCTATGAGTCGAGTATGAGAGAGCTTCACAGAGGCTCAAAACTCCACAAGAATTGGACTTTCAGGGACATAATAACAATCAAGTTGAGCTACAGAAAGGAGCCAGCACTTACCTGGATGAGGAACATAGCTATGTGATGGAATTCTCCACGGCCCCCCTGCTTTACAGGAACCGTCATAAAGAACTTACTGCCATCTCTAGAAAACACGGGCTCCTCATTCTAAAATACAGATAAGAATGTATATAAGAATGTGCATATAAGAATCCCAAAATGGCACATGAAATTTATGTTACCAACTACTGTTAAGTCAAGCATGGTGTAAAAATTACTGATTTAGAATTACTTTGGAAAAAATGGTCCAAGTATTTAAAAAACAAAGGGTATGACATTCAGCATTTTTTAAAATTGAACTTCGTGTGACAGTGCCGGTATTTATGTGAGTGGTACAAATGATGGGGAAGCTTATGCACAGTGGACAGACGTGACACTTTTAAATTGATTCACACAAAAACTTTCATGTGAAATTGTTTGGCAATTTATTCTTCATAGGTAAGGAAGACATGAACATCTACATCAGTTTATAAAATTTTTTAAAAATATAAAAGCTCATAACATAGTTCATATAGTTTTCAGAACTCTTTCATGCAGCAATTCTAGTTACTTGAAAATTCAATACTGAAAATGAGCACAAAATTACTTAAAATATGAATACGAAGAGGCCACAGAACTGGAAGTCATAGAAAATAATTTCATTCCAATTTCTTGTTCCATTGATTATCTCTCCACAAACACACAAACAAAATGCCCAGCCATAACTGTGATGAATTCCTAATTGATGGCATTTAATTAAACTATAAAGACATACTAAATAAATGAAATTATTTTTGAAAAGGAAATGATGAAAGTCACATTGAAAGATTGCTTTATCTTTCTTCCAGGAGAATGTTAAGGGAATGTATTTATCTGAGAGAACACTGAATTCCTTCCTATCAAATTAATGAGAGTGGTTATATACATGGTATGAAAGAAGGGCTTTGATATCGTTTAATCTGTAGATTTTTAAAATAGCTTTCCAGCCCTTTTAGATGACTTGTCCCTATGTTTTCTGATCATGTCATCTTGTCCTGCTGTTCCCTCCCCAGGCTCCTGACCCACAGTCTTCGTGATTTTTATTACCTTCTTCTAGCTCGCTCTCTTGTCTTCTTCGTGTCTCTGTTCCAATGTCACTTTATCAATGAGGAGTCCACTGATTATTTCATGTAAAGCATAACCAGATAAGCCAGGTCATCCAAGTCTACTTGACATCCTTTATCATCTTTTGCCTTCCTTCTACTTTTTAAATAGACCATCATTCAACATGCATTTTGTGTGTGTATGTATGTATGTGTGTGTATGTATATATATACATACACACACAAAT